CGAAGGCAGCGATGATGGAATATGACGAGCCTCTTTATGCCTGTCGACCTGATGGGCCAGCTTTCACTACCACATAGGAGAGTTGAACGTACGGCTGCGTTATAAACTCTGCCCTTCAGGGCGAGAGTAATGTCGCGTCTGCGCCACAGGTGGCGGAGATTGGCAAAAGCACCTCGAGCTTTGTCTATACGGTTCGTAACCTCATCTTCAATCCCACGGGTGCTAATATAGCTGCCCAGGTACTTGAATTCCTGAACGACTTCTAACTGAACACCAAGCGTTAGCGTAGGGGTGGGTCCCTGACAATCTTGGAGAAGTACTTTGCATTTCGATGGAGAAAAGCATAGCCCAAAACGATTGACAGCCAGTGCTTATCGGTCCAGTGCTCTTTGGCATGTTTGGGAGCTGTCACAGATTAGGGCAATATCGTCCGCATACTCCAAGTCAAGAAGTCACTCACCAGGAAGTAGCTCCACATCTTCTAGATCGTGTCCAGCGAACGCTGTTTCCATGACTTCATCAGTGGCGAAGGTGACAGCGGGCATCCTTGTCTCACACCGCTGGTGATACTGAAGAGTGGCGACAGTTTGCCATAAACCCTCATCCTGCCCGAGCTATGCGCGTACAGCGCTTTGATAATGTTTACATATTTATCAGGCACACCTTTCCTCAGCAGACAGCCCCAAAGGGCACATCGATCGACTGAGTCGAAGGCACCTTTTATGTTAAGAAACACGACAACGGTGGGTCGCCAATAAACATGGCGGTGCTCCAACACTTGACGCAAGGTGAAGATGTGGTCGATGTAGCCCCGACCTCGACGAAATCCGGCTTTCTCTTCACGAATCTGGCTTTCACGAATGCCAGTCAGTCTGTGGAGGATGACAGGCAAGCAATTTAGAGGCAATCGAAATCAGACTGATCCCTTTATGATTGCCGCATTCCAAACGGGAGCCTCCCTTGAAAATTGGGACAATGACGGAGCGGTTCCAGTCTGTCGGGACTGTCTCCTGCTCCCAAAGCTTTACTAGAAACTCGTGTATATCTTCTACTAGAGCAGGTCCCCCGAATTTGAAGAGGGCTGGGGGAATTTCATCTTCCCCTGCGGCCTTATGCAATTTCAACAGCCTGATCTCACGTTCGACTTCTGCGCGTGAGGTCGGATCCGAGGAGACGGCCCAGGGAGAAAGGCGCTCAATGCCCGAAGAAGAAAGCGATAACTCAAGTTGGTTAAATTGCCTTGCAAAGTGTCCAGCCCAACGCTCCAAGCGTTTTGACAGGCTGTGGATCGGCTGACCACTCTCGTCGCTAACACCAGGTCTCCTGCTGCCTGTTTCCCGTATCAGACGGAATAACTTACGATGATTACCAACGGCAGCGGCTGTTTCCCTCTCAGAGGTACGATGAGACCACCAGGTTTCGCGGTCCTTCTTCAGGCTAGCACGTAGTTTTGCCCTGAGATTTTTGCGAGCCTGATTGTATTCGCTTCCAGCCGGAATACGTCGGCGAGCATCCATAAGTTCCAGAGACTGTGTAGAGACCCAGTGTCCGGTTTGGCAATTTCCTTTGTCACATGAAGACATGCCTGCGGACAGTAACGCTTGACGAATATGCGACCAGTGATCTTCAACGGTGTTTAGTGGGCGCTTATTCAGCCCAGATGTCAGCGCACTTTGGTACACATTCAGAACATATGGCTTCGCCAACTGGCTGGTGTCAATCCGCTCACATCGACGTTGCGGACGTCCACCGAAACGCACCCGGAGGTCGGCGCAGACACGCTCGTGCTCCAGATCGTGCGACGGCTTTGGATACAACCTCTCCAGCGATAACTGATCGCGATATAATCGATTTGCGTCCATGGCTGACCCGAGGCTGGTGGCCACCAAGTCACGCTTCTGCGGGTGCTGTGTCGAAAGTTAGAGCTCGCGAGAAAGAGGCGAGCATCTTCACACAACTGTATTTATCGCTCACCATTATCATTATGGGAGCCTACACCATGTTGGCCGCCCAGATGAAGCTCGTCACGTAAAGCTCGAGCTTTTATTCCCATGTTCCATGTGCAATTGAAACACTTTAAATGCTATCACTATATATATATATATATATATGTGTGTGTGTGTAAGGCTGTGGCCGAACGCCCACATTTAACAGCAAGCTCCCTTTCCGATGGGTCGTGTGTAAGCCTGTTAAAGACACTCAAGACTTCCATGCAAATTGTCGCCAAAGCCCAATCGGCGGTCCTATAGGAAGACCGTTTAAGAAGTTTACGGTTCTTTTCTATGGTAAGGCACGAACTGATAGGTAACCTAGTTGAAACGTTCAAAATGTTGAGGGGCCTCAGTGGGATCAGTCCTACAGATTTGTTTGAGCTAGCTACATCTGGCCACTTGCGATTCGTTCCCCAGTAAACAATTTCTCCAGGATTGAGTGACACTCGTTATTCGCTTGTCCGTGTCGACCTGCTCGGTTTCGCCCAATACTCCCACAACCGTTGAACTATTGCTCGATTTGCGCTTTATGTGTGGGGCCGTATTCCAAAGCCATCACATGCTCAATGTGTACACCGTTTTCATGCTTCCTGTGACACTTCACTCCACGCAACCGCTATTCTGCTGCTCTCATCCGCAAACCGTACTACGCTACACCTGCTTGGTTTGCCTTCCTGCCATTGCGAAGCCTGGGCATGATATCCCGAGTGACCGCTCCTTCACCACATGCCGTAGGGTGAGCTCGCTTGTCTCGTCCCATGCTAACCCGTCCTCCTCATCGCGTAACAAAGATTTGCAACCACAGTCGCTCTGGTCATCACGAGTGGTCGAAACGCCGGATAACGTCAAACACACAGAAGTACGTCTGCTTAATCTGGAAGGACAGCTGCGGAATCTGCTGCGGAAATTCGATGGCATAGCTAAACGACATCAGCCGATTTCCAACCCTCCGGACTCGCATGTTGTCTCGTTACGGAATGCCGATCCGTCCAGCACTCTTTAACGCCCAAGGCTCTCGGCGAAGGCTCGCCCACCTAGAAGCCTACTGCCGCCCCAGCTTCGCGCCCAAATGAACGCGACGCGTAGCTCCACCCCTAACTCTTTCACATGCACGAACGTTACAAAGTCTGTCGATCCGCAACTTCAGAACCGACATTCTCATGATTCCATCATGTGAAGCTTAATCTGTGATGCGCTAAACCTTCTCGAGCTTAAACCCTGCAATCTCACAAGATTGACTCGCCACCCTTCATGGCCGAACGTCGGTAAGCCAAGACTTCGTCTTGTTGCTTTGCAGCTAAGCACGGCCTTGGAGAATGTTCTACTGTGTGCGCACGTTCTCCAAAGCAACACTTCCCTTGGCGCCTACCACCTTCATATCTTCCCGCCATAACTTGGACAGTGCGCGCAGCGCGCAGACACTAGACGGCGCCACCCACTCAACCCTGCTCCATCATAATTTATGGCTTTCCAGAACTGCATGCCCCAGATGCCATAAGAACGACAGCATCTTGACTGCGGTCAAAGGCGGTTTCTTCAACAGATACGGACCATTGTCAATGTGACCAGGAAGGATGTTCACCGCCTACCCCATCCAACAAGTTAGACCGAAACGGCCCATAGTCTCCTGAAAGTGACTTTCCTCACCGCTGGCATGGCGACCAATGGCCGCACCGTCTGGTATGCTAATAAAAGACGATCAACGCCAGAGGTCCGCTTACGTCCAATAAACCACCCGGTGAAGAGACGCATGGCCTTCCACACTCCCAGTAGCAGCCCCCTTGATACCTTCACCACACGCTGCACTAACCGTATCTAGATTGTCCACTACCGAACCAACTGCCCCACTGCCTGGAGTCACCTGCTTCCCTACACACCTCTACCGGCAGCCCCCCACGAACCTCACGCATCTACCCACCACTGCTACGATGATCCACACCTTGCCTCCTTAAATTTCAGCAGTTTTAACGGCTCCATTTATTCATACAAAAGCCGTGTACTGCCGGTCACTTGTTGGCCGGCAGCGCGGTAATTGCTCCCGCATTCTTCACTCAGACAAATCTTGCTTACCTTTACCCGAATGCACAGGGCCTCCTACGCAAATTTCCGGAACTCCAATCTCGACATCTGTCGACGCAAGCGGACCTACTAGCCATAAGAGAAACATGGCTGTCTGGCGACATCACTGACAGTGAAATCCAACTTTCTCACATGTCCGTCCTCCGTTCTGATCGCGCAACCTCAGGTGGTGGTGTCGCACTGTACTACGGCACGTCTGTCGGTTGCATCGTCGTGGCAGACTCTGCTTTGCAATCTCCTGACACCATTTGGTGCTTGGTCGTACTAACTAGCAAACACTCATGCTGTTTTGGTAACATTTATCGTCACCTAACAATTCCGAGAATGACGCAAAACCTTTTCACGATACCCGTTTCATTCTATCTCTAAGCTACAAGCATCTTATCACGTGAGCTTTCAGTCTACTCGATCTATTTCGCTCCGTTTTGTTGACTGTACTACAGCGTGCTCAGCAACTACTGTCACTGCTTTTCACATTCACGCGACTATAAAGTCGCGTGGCCACTAAAGGGAAATTAACGAAATATTAGTTGTTTCTATTTTGGATATTCGATGCGTTTACGCACCAAGTGCGCTGTTTACTATCCATTTTCATTCAACTTTCCCTGCGTAGTGTACTCACTGTACCCAAGCCACCACCTGTTTACTCTTCGCCCTCTCTTAACAATGAAGTAATAATGTGTCAGCTGTACGCCGTAACCGCGCTTCGCTGCCGTGCGACCACCACCATTCGCCCTCTCTTATGCCTTGGTGTGTTCCAGTTGCATTCGGTTTCAGAAAGAACGCAAATATGACAGAACGGATAATTGTAACTTTTGTTCTTTTTTATTTGTGACTGCATCTTACGTCTTTTAGTTACTATTTTTCATTCTCGCCTTTTCCCTGAAATTTTTTCTAGATTGCCTCTTCAACTCTGTTTCGTGAACCTACATGAACCTGCTGTCTTCTTCCGTCGGTACTATCGGCGCTTTCCTTAATACGGAAAGACTGCGCAAGGTGACCGAGTAGGTGCAATATTTCGTCTCTCACCTCACAGGACATCTCTTTGTGCATCACTGATTCACGGATTTAATAGCACTGCACAGTCGGATTCTGAATCTTCCGACTCTCCACCCACCACTTGTTCGATAAATCCCGAAGCCCTTCCTGATCCTGATGTATTTCATGTAGGGATACGTTCCCTTCTATTCTACTTTTTAGATATTTTCACGTAACTCCTTTGACAATCCAAGATTTGTATCTTGCTTTCTGGACATCTGCGTTACCCTGACCCATCATAACTGCCTCGGCCCTTTCCTAACCTCGCCGCAGTATGAAGAAGCGTGCCAGTATTTGATACACAAGCTTATCGCCAACGCATTTGTGGATACAGTTGTTATCACTTCCCTGGACCAGATTTTCATGATTTCCGAAGTCTTACATATCCAGGATTCATTCAAGGTGCTTTAGTTTTTGATCTTCATAGTTCCTCTCATTTAGATACATGCTTCTCTTTTGTCAACCCAGTTTGAGGAGACTGTCGTTGGGGTTCTCACTGCGAACGAGAGTTTCGAGTGGCCAGCGGAATTAAACAGATGGAGATGTGTCTTCACAACATTGACCAATGCAAAATCTCGTCTAAAGCCGTCCAAATTCACTCCACTTGAACTGTCTTCCTTGGATCGGTTGTATGAAGTTTTCCTTCGCAATCTCTCTTCTTTCCAGAGTTATCTTGTTGTGAGTTCGATTAGTTTTTGTTTTGGGCACTGGCTTGCAACTTTCGTGTCACCATATCCGATGATAATCAATCGTCAGCCCAGGCTAAACTGTTGTTACTGGCGTAGCCTGCTTACGAAGTCCTAATACGAATTTCGCCTCCATCTCTTTACTCCCTCGATTTCGTCCAAGGTTAGACAAGGAATAAACAATAGCGTGGTCCTTTATTAAGGATAAAATCAGGTGGTTTAATTTAATATCTAGCAGGACTCCATCAGCACGTGTTTCTGACATCACGAGAAATCAGTCGCTACCCACGTGTCTTCTGTTAGCATTCACTGCTACGCTTACCACGTGAACTGATGTTACCGTAGATGGACCATTCCTTATTCCCCCCACCAGACCGCACTAGTTAGGTACCCACTTTGCCGGTGGTGAGTTCCATTTGCAATACAATAGAACCGATACATACCAATACCTCATGTGTACCACGTGCGGCAGAAAATCGCTCATTAATCCTAATAGGAACTGAACTAATTCTTAAGTGCTGAGATGAAGGAATACAAAACACTAACGTTAATCCCAAGTCAATCGACAAGGTTCAGTGGGTACAGTTGGCTTTCAGTGAGAACAACCATTTCACACCACAAACCTACATTTGACTGGTCCCGAAGATCTGTTTACTCATATGTCATCGATACTTAGGCATTCCAAACTGCGCTAGGGCTTGCTATCACTCCAGTTGCATTCTGAATACTGAGAATAGAAAGCGTGAAGATTAAAATCTGTGTTGCTCTATCCTAGGTGGCTCGGGAACATGCGTGGAATCACGTCGCTGATTCCTGCGCGATGGCACCACATTGCAGCTGCACTGCATCTTATCCGGGTGGGATACACTCCCTATATCTATAGTCCGCAAAGTGGGCGTCAAGGAATCTCTTAAATTCCGACACCGATTTCGCCTCGACTAGCGTCTCCGACAATTTGTTCCAATATTTCACCACTCGACGCTCGAAGCATAGAGGGTGAGCGATGTGCTTTAAATCCGGTACCACTAGTTTGTACCGGTGTCCGCGTCTGGTGCTTGGTGTGCAAACGTGGAGCAGCGGCCTCGACACAGATAAGTGGCTCAGGTGCAGTATCCGTTGCGTCATGAGATCAACTCGAAGCCAACGATATGACGGGTCTAAAGTCCTAGTCTCCTTTATCGGTCCTCGTATGACATACTCCGTAAACAGAGGATGAGCCGGGTAGCTACATGCCTTATCCGTTCCATTCTCTGCTGTTGTGTTCGGGCAATAGGCAGGTGAACCGTACTCAAGCACCGGTCTTATTATGGTAGAGAACAGACGGATGGCAATCTCTTCAAACCAATTGCAGAAGCTGTATGTAAGTGCCCAAAACGGGCGTAGTCCGTTTGCGTACAGTCTGTTCGTGTTGTGGACAGACTTCGGATCACAGCGTGAGAGTACGCCTAGATCCTTTGGGATGCAGCGGGTGGCCGACTAGGGTGTACGCATGCCCATTACTACCCCTCCCCAGGCTCATAAACGAGGATTTGGTCGTGTGGACAGGTAGGTCAATTTCTGCAGACCACCGACATAGGCGTTCGAGGTCCTGCTGAGTGACGTCACAGTCGCCGGAAGAATCAATAATCCTCCAAATCTTCAGGTCATCCACAAATAATACGCAGGGCGACCGAAGAAGCTGCGGTACTTCGTTGATGTGGATCAGGAATAAAATGGGCCCCAGTACTGTGCTTTGGAGTACGTCGCTAATGGATGGGTACCATTCCTTTATGTTGTCATCCACCTGTACCCGCCATCTTCTCTCCATAAGAAAGTTATTAATCCACTGGTGCAGTGCGCCACCAACACCACACATCCTCAGCTTGTGCAGCAGGACTTCACTTTATCGAAAGCTTTACTGAAATCAATGTAGATAACATCCACTGACTTCCTCCGATTCAACGCTTGCAACCATTCCTGCCGCGTCAACAGCAGGTTGTTGATGCATGAGCGGCCATTCATGGAGCCGTGTTGTGCCTGCATTAGGAGATATTTCGACTCCAGCAGCTGGAGATCCTTTTTCACAATCTTCTCGAGCACCTTCGCCAAAACAGAGGTGAGACAAATCGGCCGGTAATTGTCTACATTGCGTGGATCACACCTTTTGAAATCGGCTTCACTACCTAGCATTTCCAGTCGCTCGGCAATGCACCCTCGAACAGCGATCCGTTGAACAGATCCGTCACGGCAGGCGAGATGGTGGCCGAGAAGGACTTCAAACTTAGTGGGTGAAGTCCATCGGGTCCAGCAGGTTTTGTGCCTTCAAGACTTGCGAGTAGACTACGGACACCTTCTACACCGCAGTCAAGGCCCTCGAGTTCAGTAGGGGCTGGATACACCGAGGTCGGTATAGGCACATGCCCACTTGTATATACGGAAGCGGTGTTTCGCCAATGCGGACGCACCTACAGTGCTGGAGGTCAATGGCTGTCCGTCAGTGCCCTCTAACACAGCTACGTCACTTGTGGGCCTCAGGCGCCGTTTCACGTAAACTTGCTGACGTATTTACGTCCATTAATCACACAGCTCTAGTTCTATCATTAGTAGATGGTCACTTCTGTTCCAGACTCTGTGTGTCTGAAGTACCCCACGTAGTTTGTCACAGCATTTTATGTGATACACAGTGAGTTTCTCCCACTTTGACTTTTTCACGACTTTGGGAACTTTTTTCCATAAACTTTCTTTTCCATAGGTGCGCTTCAGTGATCCTCAACTCCACTGTTTCGACCAAACCGAACTGGCTGACTTGTGTCGATTGCTAACTATATGGTCACAAATATCATGCAAGCTTCGAGAAATTCATGCATTGTTATCGGAATCGAACGAGCGGCTTGAGGCGACTAGTTCAGGTCCACAACTCAACGCCTGTTCGGCTAATGCTGCCACCGATGCCGCAGCCATTCATCTTCTCCATCTACCTATCTCGGATGCGCTAACTCTTATGCCTAACTTTTGTGTTTCTGAATCTCATCCGGTCTGCACTCCGACCCACAATACCGGAGGCAAACTCAAAAGTGAGTTACGTCTCTTTCAATCGCTACGAAAATTTTTCATTTCTATTTGTACCGCCTATGACGTTTTTACTTTGATAGACGTGCGTTCTACCTCTGCTCTCATATGACCCATCGTGCGATAGGCTCCCTGTACCTATAATCCGCAAAGTGGGCGTCAAGGAATCTCTTACATTCCGACACCGATTTCGCCTCTGCTAGCGTCTCCGGCAATTTGTCCCAATATTTCACCACTCGACGCTCGAAGCATAGAGGGTGAGCGATGTGCTTTAAATCCGGTACCACTAGTTTGTACCGGTGTCTACGTGTGCTGCATGGTGCACAAACGTGCAGCAGCGACTTCAACATATGGAAGTGGCCCAGGTGCAGTATCCGTTGCGTCATAATGAGATCAACTCGAAGCCAACGATATGACAGGGTATAATGCCCTAGTCTCCTACATCGGCCCTCGTACGACATGCTCCGTAAACAGAGGATGAGCCGGGTAGCTACATGCTGGACCCGCTCCAGTCTCTGCACCTCAGCTGTTGTGATCGAACAATAGGCGAGTGAGCCGTACTCAAACACTGGTCTTATTATGGTAGAGAGCAGACGGGTGGCAATCTCTTCAGACCAAGTGTAGAAGCTGCGTCTAAGTGCCTAAAGCAGATGTTTTCTGTTTGCGTGCAGTCTGACACTGGAATTGTGTTTAAGATCAAGTAGAAAGGTTACTGTACAACTCTATCGTGTTGTGGATAGTCTTCAGATCATAACGTGAGAGGATGCCTAGATCCTTTACGCAACTGGTAGGATGCAGCGTGTGGCCGGCCAGGGCGTACCCACACCCATTACCACGTCTCCACAGGCTTATAAACGAGGACTTGACCGTGTTGACCGGTAGGTCTGGAGGTGACATACCCGCTTTAAAAGGCTCAGGACACAAATTTCGCTTCACTCGAAACGCACTACATCTAACTATGGTCACTTGAGTGTGGATCCCGTTCCCGATGTTTCCTTGTATCGCCACTCTTTTGTAGCTTGTCGACAGATAATATATTAAGATTCCACCCCTTCTTACGCTTCAGAATATATGCCCATACATTTTCAGTCTAAACTGATGACTCAAATAAATTGGGGATTTATTCCAAGCGTTGGTCCAATCGATAGCGTGTAGTGTTGGTTACAGTGGACGGGACACATTCGGAGCAACTTAGAGAAGGAAACGACGATACTGCGAACGAAGGGGCTTCGACAGACGGTCTTTTATTACTACTTCTGCTGGAATTGAGCACCGTAACTTAGGAGATCATCAGTCATCCCAGGAGCTTCTTGTAAGTACATATTTTCTAACTCAACCATCTTCCTGTACAAATCTAACATTCATTCTCACCCTATTACTGACAGGACACGCTGAACTTCTCTGGCAAACATTCTGTTTGTCGTGACATTCCGTTGGAACGGTGGGGGACCGTTCCTTCTACGCGGTCTGTTTTGTGATACTCAGCTTCTCTGCTTCACCTACTTTTGTGTGTATCGTTACTAGCTTTTCTAATAGGACACTAACCACGTTTTTTGTCCTCCTGCTCCATTCCAGGTGCTCTTAAATACCAGCCTCAGAAGGAATGTGGAAAAGGTTTGTTCATTCTTCTGCGCCGTTCATTTATTTCCTTTATTATTATGTAACTCTGTCGCACTTGCAATCACATCTCGCTACACTGCTTTACCATGAGTTATACCATTTTTCTGGATGGGCAAGCCTCATGTCACCACACCTCTTGGAAGGGAGGGGGCAAACATCAAACCTTTTTGTTGTGTATAACACATCGCGATGAGATTGGACCCTACCTGTTTGCAGTCGTTTGCATGCCTCATTGATCCATTGAGCTCTGCTGAGTGGTGCTTTTTGCACCTTCAGAGTCACTCATAACAGATTGGCCAATGGTTAGAGGTTAGACAAACTCAGCCTCCAGGTTGGGGGTTGGAATGAGGTTGGCTCCTTATTCCATAAAACGGGCTCTCTATAGTCCAGTGCTATAACATCGCTGCCTTGCGGACAGGTTTTTGAACCAAAGGCTTTGGTTGAGAACCCTAATCGTTCTCCTGTCTAGGCCTGGGCAATCTGACCGTATCCTGCCAACCCAGTACAATACTATGGCTTGTCCTTTTAACAATCTCTTGTTACTCTGGCCGTCGCAGAGGATAATAAACGCTGCCCCATTTGCCGCATCGAGCTGGATGGATAGGATTTTGGATGCCACTGCTCAAGTCTTCGGGTCTTCTTATTCCCCCCTCTGGCACTTTTTCATCCTTATCGTCCTGTTCCAACTTCACTGTTTTCAGTCCCCCCCCTCCATTCTTGGCCCTCCCCCACCTTGCTTCAGCATTCGCTTCTCTGCTAGTTTTAACTCATACATAATCATCGAGCGTCGCTTTAGTCCAGTCGACAAGTCTATGTTCAATCAAGCGGACAACGCCATTTCTATGTGGAGTCTTCGATCTTCGCTAAAACTGGCACACCTCAACGTACGTCTTTTGAATACTGAATACTGTATTATAGAGCAGATAGAAATGAATTCTGTACAACTCTTTTGAAATATGGTGAACAACGTTATAGAAAATTTCCAGCCGTGGATATTGTTACCGTTCTCATGTAATATCTTAAGTATCAAACTCACGGTTTGCAGGAATCACAAATGTGATATGTCGTCGTAAGTGTGTAGTCATTCGCTGAATCGAATAGTGGTAAAATATAATCTAACAACGTTTTGAACTGCTGCACAGATGTGGCCTCCGTCACATATTCAGGCAAACTGTTCCAAATATTTACCACTCTCCGTTCGAAGCACAGTGGGTTGGGAACTCACTTCCCATCCGGCACCACAAGTTTGCGTCTGTGCCCACGTGTGGTGCATGGCCCTCGTAAGTGCAGCATTGGCCTCAGCACGGGGAAGTCACCGAGATGTAGCATACGGTAAGTCATAATGAGGTCGACTCGCACCTGACGGTAGGACAAGGTGTAGAGTCCTAGTTTCTTGCACCGGTCTTCATACCCCAAGCCAAGTAAACTCGGAATGAGCCTAGCAGCAACGTGTTGGACCCGTCCGATCCTCTGTGCATTGCCTCGGGTACTCGGAAAGTAGGTGGGTGAATCGTACTCTAGCACTGATCTGACGATGGAAGAGAAGAGATTGACAACCTCTTCAGACCGTGTGCCGACTCTACGTTTGAGCGCCCAAAGCGTGCGCAGTCCACTACCATATAGCCTGTTCGTGTTGTCCACGGACTTCAAATCGTAGCGCGTGAGTACACCTAGGTCCTTCACGGAGGGTGTGGGATATAGCTGTTTGCCGTCAACGGTGTAGGTGTTACGAATTGGCCAACACCCGAACATTAGAGACTATCCTTCGATATCTACTGTTTATTAGAAACCCGCGTGGTGGATTCGAGCTCTGTGTTTACCCTGCGATCCCTCACTGGCGGCACTTTCTCGTTACGCGTGTACGGAGATGATGTGGCTTTAAATGCCGGTCCAATAGATATGGGCATTGTTTTGACTTATCGGGCTGAAGCCGCCCTGATCAACCGGATCTAAATGAACCACGTGATATGCGCCGTCAGATTGGATATCTTGTTCAAACCTTCGAGGTTATGCTGAGACAATCGGTGCTTGTTCGTCATCGCTGCATACGCATTCACAGACTCGGTGAAAGATGAGTTCTGTCATTAACGAAACAATCACCTTCGTCACCACAGAAGTAGGGTTACGTCCGATGACCTGAACGCTGAAGTCGAAAAACTGCCAACGGATAAGCTTCATTTGGGCGACCAATATAGTGTAGGCTCCCGTAATGATAACAGTGAACCGTTGGTAAACTTTTGTGAAGATGCTCGTCCATTTTTAGCGGGCACTAGCATCCAACCTAGCACACGCAAAAGGGTGAAATGGCACCCAGCAGCATCAAATTAGCCAAGGACGCGAATTGATCACATCACGATCCGGTAAGCACCAAATGCGCGTTTCGCCCTAATGAGGCTCTTCAGTGGTGCGCATCCTTCGCTCGCCTACTGGGGATCGAACTCATGACCGCTAGAGGCTAACCCCAACTGGCCAGCAGCTTATGCCACTGAGCCATGGGGGACGGCAGCCGACCATTACGAATTGAAACCTAACTGCGATATAGCCCGACCCATCCTCCACTGCCGTGCAGAGGACAGTGGTTGGCTGTCAAGCTTAGGTCTTTCTTTGCCAGCGCCGTGAATCCAAACAGCAATTTTGAATACTGGTAGGGCTTAGATCTTTGATTACTAATGGGCCGCGGCTTGGAATCTAATTACGATGAACCAAATCGAATCATACCAAAAATCCGTCTGCTCATTAGTAATCGCATCACGACCGTTTGCGATTGGAGAGGGTGTGTTCAAAACGGCCGCTCAAATTGGAGCAGAAGCGTGGACTCAGATCACGCATTAATATGTGCCGGTCTCTGAGTTTTCTTCGACGAACGCCTGCGACGACACTGCGCGCTTAAACATCTACCAGCTAGTGCGGCTAGTTGTTCCGGATGTATATCAAACTGCGCTTGCACCAGGGTTGATTACGTGTTAACCGAGACCATACGCGACGAGAATAGGCAGTCAATCTACTGCTTGTCAAAACGCTTTGAGCGTTGAGCCGAATACTTTGCGAAGCAATTTAACAAGCCGGCGCTTGCTACTGCCTAAGAATCGCCCTGGGCCGTTTCCTTGTACTCGTCTTCACACGCACAATTCGAACGTCAGATCAGAGTTTTTGATTTGAACAAGGCCGCAGGAGTAGATAGAATTCCTCCAAACTTTTTCATAATCAAAACACCAGATCCTATTAACCATTTACACAATTTACTAGTGAAGCTGCAGTAGCAATAGACTGTCCGACAGATTGGAACCACTCCATTATATTCTCTGGTGTGGTTTCTCCTAGGACAACTCCGTATGTCCACTTGGGCAACCGGGTAATACTACACCCACGGACGAAACCATGTATTCTTCATATGGTATATTGTGCTAACTTGTATTTGCTTCCGATGCTCACACACCTTCACATGCCACCCGTTCATTCGTTACCAATCACTTTTATCCGTTGCCAGCCAACCTGTTTCCACGATTCTACTCCCAATGGTTTCGTTGACGACCATAAAACTCGCCCAGTTGCTCTCCTTCGGCCTCGTTACGCCTGCATGCTTTAATGTAAGTACACTCATGCAGATCGGGCAACAGGCTGCTCCCTCACACACCTTAGAATCCCTCGGCATCGATGTTTGCTGTTTTTCCAAGACCCGATTACAAGATCCAAGTACCGAGATTGAATTTAGATCTCTCACCGACCGCGGAGCCCTATTTCACCTATGTCTGCCTAGTGACACAGAATCATCTGCGGCAAGCTTGGCTGGCGTTGGTGTAACGCTAAGCAACAAGGCCGAGGCCGTACTGCTAGACTGGTTTCCGATTAATAACCGACTGTGTGCAGTTCAGCTTCGAGAATCGTGCAGTATCAGCAGATATCATGAAGACAGACGCACATTGTTTGTGGTCTCAGCGTACGCTCCAACTGACTAAAGTTGTGACGCATTCAAGGACAATTTTTATCATGAACTTCACCAACGCTTGAGCAAAGCTTGCAGATCCCATATTTTTGTCCTTTTTGAGGATCTCAACACCTGCTTGGTCGCTTATTGTCGCGGGAAAGCCATATCTGTGGTCACCATGCGCTCGCTGACACCCGCTCAGATAATGGAGAGCGACTTCACATTGTGTGAAGACAATCGTCTGTGTTTCTCGAGCATCAGCTTCGGGCATTCGATGGGACGTACCGCTACTTAGCGCCCACATTCTACATCTCAGACATAGTCTCAGATTGACCACATTGCAATCCGTTACAGACGCCGGGTTAGTCTAATGGATTGCAGTCCAATCTGGTCAGCCATTCTGGATTCAAAACTCGATGCAAGCGAACGTATGTTTTCAATAATTCTTCATCAGGCTTGTATAATTATATGTGGAGAGCAAAAAAACCGATAGATACAAAGTTGTGGTTGGTAAACTACGTTCAGTTCACGATCACTGATCAAGCACAATCGCTGTCCGTTAGATCACAACTGCAGTGTGCACAGAACTATATGGGCCAGACGTCACGTTTCGAGTGGGACAAGGCAAGCTTAATGTTTGAGCAAACTGTTTCTGAATGTACATTTGCGGCTCGTACAGACGAATAAGCTTCGAGTAAATGCCCGCGAACGCACCGATCGATTGTCCGGTGTCTGATAGATCATTTCAAATGACTCAGCTTAGCTAATTGCATGGCTAGTGTCAGCGGGATGAGTGGCTATGGCTGAACTGGTTGGTTTTCGACAATCAGTCGTAAGGCAGGTCGGATGGTGTTTCCTAACCCTTTCAGACATGCGCCTCGTCGTTCGACCAACGTAACCTGCTCCACAAGAACAGGAGAACGAGTAAATGCACATTGATTTGACGTAGGTGGACTTCTTGTCTTTGAGGCTAGTTCTTACCATCGGGATACCGACGAACTGGATTTGCATTTTAGCTGCCGGCAAAGTGTGTCTGAGAGCATGGGAAAGGCGGCGAGTTAGGATTTCGGCGGCTATTTCTCCCTTGTACGGTAGTTGTAAAAATATTGATTTTCTCTAGGCTGTGAGGGTTAGAGGAGTCTTCTTTCTTTGCTACATGTTTGCTTTCAGGAAACTGCCTGGGTAGCCACTTTCCCTCAGCGTCAAACGTATGTACTTCAGTTCTTCGGAAAATGTGTCCTTCGAGCAAATCCTTTCTGCTAGACTCATCAGACTGAGGACCAGGATTAATTTTGATCTCAGTGGAACAAAACTAGAAATCTGTGTACTGGCCATTCCAAATAGGTTTCCTATGCACGTGACGCGGTAATGTGCCATCCTCGAGGCCCTTCATTGCCATGTCAAGAAAGTGAAAGGTGTCATTTGCTTCTACTTCGAAGGTGAACTTCAGCGCTTTGTGCGCCTGGTTGAATTCTTTAAGGAGATCCTCGTTGTTTCGAGAGGAATGGGGCAGGATAAAGATGTGGTCGACGTAACGGCGGTACAGACTGAAGTTCATGATAGCCGATTTTAACTTGCCTTATTCAACTATACCCATGAACACGTCAGCGATAAACGGCCCAAGTGGAGAGCCCATCACAACTCCATCGTGCTGTCAAATGAAATCTGCTTCCGCTCTGCTTGTTGAAGGAGTGTGAGACGACTCCGTTAATAAAACTTGATTCCCATCCACATGCCTCCTGGTCTGATTCTTTGGAGTTTACGCTGGATAAGCTTCCACCCATTTTAGTTGGGCGCATGCGATCTACTTCTTCCGCCGGCGCGGTATGCTGAAAGGAGCGTATTATCTTCCCTTTGATTGCTTCCTCCGTCATCGGAAGGAAAATCTTGTGGATAAATAACTAAACCGCTACAGAGTCTTTAAATAGCAATGCTTAAATGTTCGAGAGGGACTCGTTACATTTACTGCAAATCTGGAAATGCACCGGACAGTCATTTCACTCTTTCGGGGATCATCAGGGGTGCGCATTCCGCCTGTCCCACAATCGTATTCGTCGGTCCGTGCGTGTCTCCCCATCCACGTATGCAACAGCAGTAGACCTGAAACAAATCAGCACTGTGTCTAAATTGATAAACTTGTCCTTTCGCTACCCCTCCTCAGGAGCCCTGAATCGATCACATGTATTTTCACGTCGCTATGCCTCCGGAATTCATGCATATATTTTCTCATTTCTTGTTAAGTCTAATTTTACGATCATGCTCATTCTTTCGCATCATTGTTCGAAACACTCCTTCACACACCAGACCATTCCTCTGACAAATTAATGGTTTACTCCATTCTTTTGACCACACTGTTGCTTGCTAGCTAAGCACGTGTGTCTACTACTGGGCTCTGCCGGTTGTGCTCTCATTCGAACTGTCGTCATTTCCGCCTAACTCAAATTGTACCGCAACTCTCCACCCAGCTTGGTTTGATGCTCGCATTGCCCTGTGCCTCGGCTATGTAACGCGCCATCGCTTATGGTCTGTTCACTTAGCGCATGTGCTCTTTTCCAGTGGTACGAGGGACCAGTGTTGTTTGGAGTGGTTATGAGTGCTTTTTATTGCTTACAGTGTCTCTGAATCTACTCCGGGTCCCTCTTTATTGAACCTTCCAACCCGTTCGGTGTTTCGCTACAGAACTCTTGCTTTTGTTCACACACTATTCCATACACGAGTCCAAATCGGAGGTCACCCATAGCCAGGTTTCATTACTCACGGATATACGTTTGTGATATTTTAGCAAAACGTTGAGCCCACTCTTCGCTCATCCTTTTCCCTCCCCCTTTTTGCATCTCCGTTTAGATTCCACCGAAATCAACCCATCGTTTCAAGGTGCAAAAATGAACCTTCTACGTGAATTGTTCCTTTCACATGACTCCCGATCAGCGTTCTATCAAACGTTTCTCATCAGTCTCAAGCAGGCGATGAAATCAGTGCGTCTTGGTGAAGCCTCCATGAGGTTGTCACTGTTTAATGACGGCGATACATTGCACAACGCTGATTCACTTGATCACCTAGGAAGTCGCACCAGTCTTCTCTTGCAACCACCTGCTTTTGCAACCTCGGTGCAAGGTCCTCTCTTCGGTATTCCTGGATGTAGTATCGGGGATGAAAGTGTTGAAGAACCATCACCCACATGGAGTCGCCAATTCCATTCTAGCTTTACTGTACACGGCGTGATGACTTCGTGGGTGGGCGCTGTGTGTACAGGGGCCGGGTTGCCTTGGCCTACCATTCGTGTCAGTGAGGTGAGAAATGACAGATTTCCGTTTGTATCTACGCAATTGGTAATGAGCGACTGTTCGCCATTTTTGGTATACTTTTTCGAATGTGGTGCAGTCATGATCCAAGCTTCGTTTTAAATTCGATCCCAAACCTCTGATGGCTATTACCCGATTGTATAATTTTCTATGCCCGTTTATTTCCCAACTCGCCTTATTGCTTATTTTTCTTTTTTTTGCTTATTCTCATTATTCGAGTTCATGGTATCAGAGAGCTGCGGACAATCAGTTGATTTATCTATTTGGCAACGTTTCGCTTTTGACGCAAAAGCTTCGTCAATTCTCGTGAATTTTTACCTAGTTGGTCTAGCATTTTATAGCGAGCGATGGAGATAATAGTGACAACCGAGATATGGGTCAAGGGACTCTTGTACTGGGTGTTTTATTAATCTGGTCCGGAGCTAAGACCGGCTGCACTCAGGTGCTGACGTACACCGGTACTCTGACTTGCTAACTTTCCAATGGCACCAATGGCTTTGTCGACAAGGGGGAGATGGGACACAGAGACGCGACATGTGTGGTTACGATCGCAGGGCACATAGAGCCGTTCGGCTGTGAGAGGTGAAATATAACAAACACCACAGCCGCAATCGACCTGTCATGCGTGGATCTCAGAACAAGAACAAGGGAACGCACGCCTTTCGGCTGAGGGAACTGGACGTTAGCCAGACACCACAGCCGCAATGAATACGCCATGCCTCGACCGCCGGGCAAGACCAAGGGAACGCACGCCGTCCGGCTGTGCGCAGTGAACGTTAGCAAACACCACAGCCGCAATCGACCTGTCATGCCTGGATCGCAGGGCAAGACGAACGGAACACACCGTTCGGCTGAGGGAACTGGACGTGAGCCAGACACCACATAGCCCCACTGAACGTGTCATGCTTCGATCGATCGGTGGTCGGCCTTCACCCAGGTGAAATGCCAGCAAAAGGGTTCCATGTGAATTGGTTACTGGGTCGGTGTGCTAACAACTGCGAAAAACAGCCTGGCCGTATGTGATGACCAGTCGATGGGCGCCGTATTGCTATCGTGCAAAAGCTGTCATCACCTCATGACTGGCTTCTTACAAAGCCGTATGCTTTTATTAGGCTGATTTTACTACTAAAAGAAATCATGCTGCCAGGAGCACATTGTACGGTTACAGTGTTGTTCGCTTTACGGTTTCGGTCGCATGTATGTTACAGCTGAAAATTCACCCTTCATGAATGCGTAAAAACGAATTCTTGACTTGATGTGACAAGGCTCTTAGATTTCAGTCTGCTCCGAAGAACTAATGGCACCATTAGACTGCATACCAATCTAATCATGACTACAACCATTGCCCTCACAGTCAGACGATTGCTAGTTGTACAAATTGATCAGGCCTTCGAGAATATATATTTATTCATTTCTTTAATTACATTTATATGTAATATGTGAAATGTCTGTAAATATCAAGGAATTGGGTGTTCGAAGTGCCCTCCCTCGTTTTGGCTACAGGGGAGCATTCGCCAGATGGTGTCGGCGAGCACTTTCTGCAATGTCTGGAACGAAAGCTGCCTACATTCGTTCACAGTGTTTACTTTCAGTTCATCCATGTTATTGGGTTTCGTTCTATGAACTCTGTGCTTCAAGTATCCCCAAAGCAAAAGTTCCATGGGATTCAGATCCGGTGATCGCGCAAACCATTCTATCAGTCCTCCGCAATCGATCCAACGTCTACCGATTGTCTCGTTCAGGTAGGCATGAACCGATTTCGCTGAATGTGCATGTGCGCCATCCTGCTGTCACCAAACGTTGTTCATTAACCCTTCCGATTGCAACTGCGGTATGACGCTGCTCCGCAACATTTCCATGTACGAGGATGCTAAGAAATGGCAGACATTAGTACTGTTAAACAACAACCTACCGGACACACTCCTGGAAAAGAAAAGAGGCCCAATGGTTTTACGTCCAGTCAACTCAGCCCAGACCATGCGCTTCGCGCTGTTGTACACGTGAAGCGCTAAATTGCCGTGGGTTGGTTATTGCCCAAACATGTTGCGTATCTTTGCCATGCAGGGGGAGTGAACAAAATGGAATGCACATTCAGACTGTTTAAAAACCAACGGACGAATTCCAAGCGCTTCTGCGGATCGGATGTATACAACACTTGCACCTGCAGAGCACTGTGCCGTCGGATATTTTTCCTTCAATATCCTATGCACACCATACGGTGTGGTTTCGCAATGTTGTGTGAGCTGCCGAACACTGAGCTGCCTGTTACTGCATACCTTCCCAACCGCCCAAGCTGATACTACATCGGTGACGGTGCGAGTCTGTCCGGTTTGTTTGAGGTTGCAGACGCTGCCAGTTTCTGCAAATTTCTTCATCACTCAATGCGCATACCTCCCGTCAATGGGACGCATAACGCGGTGCATACTATTATAGCGCCTTGCGTTTTCCGCCGCATTGGGTCCACACTTACCATACAGCTGCACAATAACTACGCGCTGATGGACCGGCACATTACGTGACTGCGGTTGCTGACACATCGACAACACGGGTGTAAGCTCCTACTCCATTGCTAGTACAGCGAACCACTAACCACCACGGGGAGAACCCATTTTGCTGACTTTTCACCTGGGTTAAGGCCGACCACCGATCGATCGAAGCATGACACGTTCAGTGCGGTTATGTGGTGTCTGGCTCACGTCCAGTTCTCACAGCTGAACCAAGTGTGTTCCCTTGATCTTGTCCGGCGGTCGAGGTATGACACACTCATTGGGTCTGTGGTGTCTGGCTAACGACCAGTTCCCACAGCCGAACGGCGTGTATTCCGTTCGTCTTGCCCTGCGATCCACGCATGACAGGTCGATCGCGGTTGTGGTTTTTGCTAACCACCTCTCACAGCCGAACGGCTCTATGTGCCCTGCGATCGTAGGCACCCATGTCGCGTGTCTGTGTCCCATCTCCCTTCTGCCGACAAAGCAATTGGTGCCATTGGACAGTTAGCAAGTCAGCGTACCGGTGTACGTCAGCATCTGAGTGCAGCTACTCCTATTTCCGGACCAGATTAATTTAACCCTGTAGATACAGGTGGTCCAATCAGAGTGGGACTATTCCACGGCTCTCGCTGTCTGTCGTGTTACCAATTAAAGTCTTGGTAACAATGATGATGTCAGTCTTTGTTATTCAACCTCATCAGGCTGGTCGGATTACGATTACTACCCACGCGGTCGTGTGTTCCATTTCTCCATTCTGGTTGGTGCCTTTCCGGGCTAGGTTTTGCTGTCTAGCTTGTGAGCTGCTGAGACGAAACAATTAAAATTAACATCCTCCTACTGCTTAGTAATATTCAAATTGTTTTGATGTCTAGTGTCCTGCGCAAATGCAGCTACGGTAGAATCTCTTAAGAGGGATCTGTATTCAAATTCATTTCCCGGAGGTTGTAAAATGCGCCTTTTGTATTCTACACAGTTTTTATTTTTAAATCTAACTTGAATCAGGGCCATCAAATCTGCGTCCCTTAAAGGTAACCAGCTTGTCTTACAATCTGACGGCGCGGGTTCGAGCCTCCGTAGGGAATGGGCGACCCTCGCAATATCCTTAGCACACGTGCGACCGGTGGTGGTTGCGCGGCAACAAGGCGTCAGTACTGCGTACCGGCGTATTGCTGATGCCTTTCTTCTGAGCCGTGTTTGCAATTGTGAAAATCATATCGGTTTCAGTCTGTTTTCAATGACCTCCGAACTACTGACTTGCATCATGATGTGGTGAGTCACTAATCCTCGTGCGAAACGAACCAGTGCAATTCATCCCGGTTGTCGCCCTGACAGAGGTAGATGGATCACATTTCTACTCCTTGACAGTTGCTTAACGTCGCCATTCTTCCAATTAGTCCGTCATGATAGTGCTCATTGACTTGATGGTTACCTTTGATTCCGTTTACCGCACGCAACATTTTGTGGCGGTCTCCTCTCTACTCTGGTATTTATACCCCGACCCCCGTGATCGTGTAAATGCGCACCGGGAAGCCCTCCCCTAAATTTATTGCGGCAAGTCGAGTCCGTCTGGGCTGCTCCGTTTCGTTCAGATTGTGTGATCTAAATGATCATGAAGCGCTCGTCTGGCGCTTTCCATTTCTCCTGGACCGTCGAATGTGTTAGTTTAAAATCTCCGGATGATAGGGCTCTCATTTTGGATCAGACGCTAATTCTACTGCGACGCTACTAAACAGGCTGACGTGCAGCAATTCTTGCTTCAACCTGTGCTTCACACCTCCGAAATACTGGTGTTGTTACAGGATTAGATCGATTCGCTGAATAACCGCTCGAACTTGTCCACTGGCCTATTTACCAGTTATCTGTACAGCCCCTGGAGGTGATGTCACCAGTTGGTTGCTGTACACATTTCTAAGGCTCATGAAACTTTTAAAAGCCTCGGTTACTTGTGGAGACGACGAAATATAATCGTATTTTCTAAGGAAAAGCTTTACTACACTTAGTTGCAACCAGTGTTACAGCTCGGATCTGACCGCTGCGTGCCAATGACCCTGTGAGGCTCCTAGCCTTAAGGATCACAAGCGTGCCCTCTAATCCGACGGCGCGGGTTTGAGCCTACCTAGAGACCGGGCGACCTTCGGAGTAAGCCCAATTCCGACTTGCGGTGTTTGCCGAGCAGCGAAGGGTTTTTGACCATCATTGCCTATGGGTCGCTACTCAAATTTGGTGAGAGAGCCGAGTGAGTGCTATGGAATTTTGTTGTGCATTGTTTGGCGGTATTTGTGCCGCTTGAATCGTGAATAGTTCCATAATCAGTATAGGCACTAATATAAATAATAATAATAATATCGTACAGGTAAGAATGTTGCGTACAAGGGAGACTTATGTGTTTGCAGGATGGCAGTGAGCCCAGTTCAGGCCTCTGTGCGGTTGCGACAATATCTTCGTCGGGCCTTGAACACGTGAACGGAAGTGTGCACGTCCGTTGTCCGGTCCATCCAG